ACAATTTACAATATTACTCTGCTCAGACCCTTATTTGCGCACTGGATATCTCTCTTCTTTGGGCAAACACACATAATGTCAGGAAGTTACGAAAGCAAATCAGTGTTGGGATGCATGTATTTATTCAAGTTTTCTCTCAAATTAAGATCATCCTCACCACATTTCATATTACTTATAAAAGTTCTCTGTCAAAGTCATTAATAATTCATAAGCTAATTTATTCAATCTGTGAGATACAATGATGATATCCAATATCTCAAGAGTGCAAGTAGGATTGCCGAGGGTATCCACGAGTGTGCCATGCGGCAATTTGATTGCTTAAGCTTGGTACACTAATCACTAGCAACMGAGGGAACATAGTCATTATCACAAACATAGTTGTGAGAGTGCTATTTCACTTGTGTCATAGTTGGAATGAACTGAAAAATAAAGGTAACCTGCCTTAAAGATCGGTCTTTAAAATCTTTTTACCATAACATTTTTCTTTTTAGGAAAACGATATTTGATGGCCCAGTAGATGACCCTAACTACCAGCCACTACCAGAAGACAGACCTGGAGGGTTTAACTGGGGTGAAGGAGAACAAGTGGGTGTAGATAATAATGATGACAACCAGTGAAAAAGATAATATTATTGRACCATTGCAGGACATGGAACTAATTTATTAGCTTTCCTTTGGCAAAATGGCTTGGCATTGAAATAAGATTGTAGTTGACAAGGCATCAAGTGTACAGATTGAGTAAAAGTGCTTGTACAGCTGTAAATATTGTTAGAGAATGAATGGTAATGAATTAAAACTGAGCAATATTCTAAATGTWACTAAAATAAAAGAACTATGACACTTAATTGATTAGCAGTTTGGCCAAAAGGGAAAGGGAAAATGAAATGAGTTGCTGCACCAAGAGCAAGTCACTRGCACTCAGGTCCAGCTTTGTTAAAAATACTACTACATGACAATTGTAGCAAACCAGAAATTTGGACTCAAACTAGAACACAATGTGTTATGAAAATGCACAAACGTTCTTGGCTTTTTCAGCAAGGAACCAAAGCATATTCATATTTCAAATATCATAAAAACAAGAATTCAATGTTCTGATTGAGYTGCATCCAAGTTGATTACCAGAAGGGAGAAAAGGACAGATCCAAGGTGGGTTTAGTGAGAGGGGTTTTGGAATAGAGTTGATAAAATCTGAAGACCACTACTGGAAAGATATAATGATCAAGAGAATAAAGAGGTATGGTCTGTTTGCTGATCTCTTCATTAATATAAAGTGCCCTTAATTTTGATGCTAATGAGGGAATACAAAGTAAATGTATCCAATTGAGTTGATTGTGGGTCAAAACAAACTATTGAACTTTGTCAAATCTGGGTTTGAAGATAAACTAATATTACATGCTATGCACATGCTAGGAAAATACTTATGCTGGGGAAGTCGGGGCCAGTTGTTTGATGTCAGCTGGTTTGTATGATATCACAGTCTGAAGTTATTCAATTCACTAGCCTGTAACATTTTTATTTATGAATTAATTGCATAATCATAAGCTAGAATATCTAATTTTATTAATAAAGAAACAGAATGAAGTATAAAAACCATTATCTAATCTTGTATCACTGACATAGAATCAATGTATCATACAGATTAATGGTAGCAATACATTAATTATTATGAGCTTATACAGCAGATCACAATAAAATATTTGAGTGTTACACATGACCTATGTTAGTTATAAAAGTTGAAACATGCACCCCTGTAGTCCATACTTCTGTGTCTGCATATATTATGAACAAAAAATACCTGTTCCATCATGATATGATTCTAGAGGTTTTTGGTTATAATATTGCATACAATTGATAGCAAAATTGTGGTCTCATTATGGCATCCTGCCCAAGTAAAACAATATTATTTTGGAGCAATGTTGCTTTCACTTCCCTAATATTATGTCTGAACCTATRTAGAGCAGATTTGCCATTCCAGAAAAATCTAATATGAAAATAAAGCCCTAATGTTAAAATCACTGTTATTAGCAAACCACYAAACAATGCACCCTTCCCCATTGCAAGCTCAATCACGAGTGCATTCAGGGCATCACAGAGGTTACATATGACACAGGCAGGCTAAAATAAATGTGTGATATTTAAAAATAAAATGTAGAGCGTGATTTATGAATAGGAAGCTCTGGAAACATTGTAAAACAACCGAGGATAGAGGGGTGAGGCACTTGATCAGAGCAGATTGGTTCTATCATCAGCATAGCCAAAATGCCAAGCCATGATTTCTATTATGTTTTCATTTCTGTAAAAACCTTACAGTATTCAAAGCCCTATACAGCTATTTCAAAAAAGGTTGAAAAAAAAAGGTCGAAGGAGCAAACAGCTAATGGAGATGGCTTCGTCAACTGCAAACAACACTAAATATGTCAACAATAAGCTTCGTATTCTTGACAAGAATAAGAAAAAGTCATTCCAGCTATTCTTTGATCTATGATTCTAAGATCTTTGACCTATCRCTTTTTGCCTATGTTTTATTACCTATCGCTGCTCGTCCCTTCTACCTGTTTTGAAATAGCTGTATGCGTACATCATGTTTTCTCATGTCATATAAGTCTGCTCTTAAATCCTTCAGAAATTAATTCATTAAGAGATGGTTTGTTAATAATCTACATAACTACATCATGGTTTCTTATACTCAATTCTTTCAACCTTGACGTCATCACCAAGTAACTGATATACATAGGTCACTACTGTGGAAGCTTGAATGTCCATCAGAACAAAAGAAGGCCTGACATTACTGCAATGAGGAAAAGAACAAATTTATTGGGTATTGCTGTATTGGGTACATTTAGAGTTCCCTTTTAACTCAGTGACTTTTATACTATAAAGCAAACAAAATGACAAAACCCTGGTAGAATTCTCAATCATGGTGATATTCTACAACAACAGTACCAGTACAAGAACAATCCTGCAACACTTGCGGCCCCTTCAGTGATTAACTTATTAGCATACCAATTCTAGTCCAAAACAGTTACTGTGGTGAATAGCAATTAGCTAGTTTTGGCATCCCCATTTTATAATGTACAAAATAACATTGAATTTCTTCATACCAAAGTGTATTGTTCCCAATGAAAATTGAGTTTAAAGTTGACATATAATTTTGGCAATTTTCATCAATATGACCCAGTTATGGTACCAGTGATTCGTTGTATAAAGAAACATGTATGCTTCATGAATACAGGGTTTGTGCTACATCTCCAACACAAAATTCAAGGACTTTTTAAGGACCATTTTGTTTATAAATTTTTTCTTAACAATTTATAGAGATAAAAAAATACTTAATTGACTTTATTTTAACAATGACCTTAAAAGTTTTAAAGCTCAGTAACATTGACTTAGGGTAATGGAAAATAGCAAGAGAGATACCAATGCCTTGCTGTGTTGGAACTCCAAGAACATTACAATCAAAATATGTTACAATTTCAAGGAGAATTCCAGGAGTATCCAGCAACTTTGTTATTTTCAAGGGCTTTTCAAATGCACTCAAAATTAAAATCTGTTTTCAATTCCAGGACTTTTCAAGGATTCCAAAGAGTAGCACAAACTCTGTGAATAGTAATTAGGGAAATATAGTCTAAATTTCTTTTATCACTATTTGATCCAGGAGGATGATAGCAGTTGAACCTCCCTTTGGAAACAATGGATCCTGAGGTGAACAAGGCATTACTTTTTAATAATTGCCTGATAGTTTTTCATTTTACTTGATATGCTTACCTTTCTAAAGGGGTATATGCCCCTGTGGCACTACCAGGGTTAATATAGAATTTTCCCTCATGTTCATAAGCCTCAAATTTATGAGTGTGGCCAAAAATAAGAATATCAACATCYAACTGTCGCTGAAGCTGGAAAACAATCCAAAACAGTCTTAACAACAATAAGAAATCAAAGATACATACAATGACTGGTATGTATGGATAATTACCATGGCTAGACTCTCTGGATCTCCCCATGGGACCACTTGATGTCCATGACAAAGTCCAATTCTGAACTGACCAACAGAGACCACTTTCTGCTCTGGATATGACAGATTCTGTGTAATATAAAAATGCAGAGGAATTTGAAGGTACTTAATTATAAACATTATTTTCTGATTTTAAATTAATTATTAAAAACTATTGAAAATTTAGCATTCTTATACATGAAACTTTATCACACCATCTGCAGCCATGCTTATTCTCAAGGAAATAAAAACGATGTGTGGCAGAATCAATTTTTCAAATCACATTAAACCAGATTCCATACACCTCTTTAGCTTGGGTGTAATGTTTTTCCCATTTCAGGCCATGTGGCATTCCCTTGAGTATCATTTCTGTTGGCATGCAAATAAAACAAAGAATCCTATTCTCAAAGGAATGACTGAAATGGGCAAACAAACACCCAATCTTAATAGGTTCATTATTCCTGTCATGGCTGGATGCCATCATGAGATGGTGCAAAGCACAATTTTTTTAGATAACAAGCCTTTACTAAAACAAACAAACAACATTATTTCAGTGTACTAACATCATCAAAGTCACCCCTGACGACATGAACATCACTTGCTAGGGTCTTTAGGTAGTCATATGAATCCTTTGTACAAAGGTTACCAGTACACAAGATATGCTGGATCTTCCCWGGAACCTTCAAGTATACAAACATATACATTAAGTACCTCTCATTAAAATTCAAACYCCTAATATAATATCAAGTCAGCTGTGCTGTGTTGCTTCTCCTCTTTTTTTATGCTCATAAACCTTAGGCAATTCAGAGCAGCAGGTGGCAACAMAGTTGATTGTAAGTCATTAGATACAGCCAAGACATTAAAACTGGTCTACAGACCGTGYATTATTGCTCTGTAATATTGCACTCGAAAAATGGTCATAATACATGGAAAATTGAATGTGTCGTACAATAACAGTCTATATTCACTGTTCATGAACAAAAGTAAAGTCACCAACGCAGAAGTAATAAAAATTATATATCTGTCAAAGCAACAATTTCATTGGTTATGACTTTTGACATTTTACTCTTGTTTCAGCTGCGGCCATTGCCCCAAGAAATGTCTGAAATGGTTCATGAAAATGTGTTATTTGGTACAATGGAAATAAAGGATTCCTGTAGTTAATAACTTGCAGACAGCAGTATCTAAAGCAAGTTGAAAAGCCCAACCTCCTGGGGGGAGGGGGGTGGGGGATATTCCCGTATATGGACTATACGTGGGTGATCCGCTGAACAGGGTATGGTTTTTTGAGCTTCTTATCACAAACAGGGTATGTATTTTCACTACTAAGTTCCAAGTTCTTCCTCAGTTTCCTGTCATATTCAGGGATTCTGCTTTTGTATTGACCGAAACTGGTTATTATGGTCGTAAAAAAACAATACGCAAGATGACATGATAATTGAAACAGGAACTCATTGAAATAATTTATATCTTTTGTCATAAACAGGGTCCACAAATTTGAGTTTTTTTTACCATAAACAGGGTACCCCTTTCAGAATTCCAGCAGAACACCCCTACCCAAATTCTGGTGGAGTACCCCCCCCCCCCCCCCCCCTGGCCTAACCTTTAGAATGGGACCACAATGAGGGGGGTGGGGTGGGTACAGTATGGTTGGATACTCATAAAATAAATAGACTTGGTCACCAGGGAGAAAGTACTTATAACTTCATAACTTACCAGCAACTTTTTAAACTTGGCAGGCAAGCCATGATGCCTGTGAGGGATGTGCAGATCTCCTAACACTAGAACAAGCTATAGAAATGTGACAAACATTGACATTATCAACTGCAAATATACAYCACAATGCAAATAAAAAGATATAGTATTCAAACTAATGTATCCTTGGGTGTTAACTCATTTTGGATGGTGAATACGAGTAATTCGACTAYATTTTATATCCTTAATTAAACTGTCCATAAACAACCTGATTTCCACTACCGCCTACTTCTTCATAACTTTYAAACATACTGCGCCCATATCTTCAACTTTTACCGCATAGAAGTTGTAATTTAGAAATTGAAGCTACAAATAATCTAAGATTTTCAGTAATATTGTGTAAATCGACGAGAATAAATGCGGTTAAACTAGTGTCTAAAGACCCACCATTTCAATGCTGCTTTCGCCTTCTTCTTCCAGATCAAGTGACTGATCGCGCGGTCACATAGCTTACCGGAAGTTAGCTTTTAAACAGACTTCGACGTGATTGGTTGCCGTATGTCAAATAGCCAATCAAAATCCAATGTACTAAAAATAGTCACAGGAAATGAGAGCAGCGACTCCAGACTTGTCTGAAGGTTTCTTGAAAAATACTTGTAGCAAGGCTGTACCCTTTGGTTTTACTATCCAAGCACATGACAACCAGGGGAGCAAACGTTGATAAAATCGTTACTCTTCAAAAGATACCCATATAGAAGATTCTAAGGAAAGATCGGGATGCCTAGAACCAAGGGAAACCATACCACAGTCAAATCGAAAACAGAGAAGAAGTTACGAAGGAAAATTTCTCAGAGTAATGGGAAAGCTAAAATTGCGAGAAGAAGAAAAAAGGTTCGTAAAAGGCTGGTTGGTCTATATTGATATAACAGAGCTCTTTGATTTGCTTTTAAACATGAATTAAAATTCATATCAAAATCCTGTATTTTAGGCAATTCTTGTTCAGTCCAGATCTTGTACACCGTGAGTGAGCCTTCTTCATGCATTGTCTGGCTCTGAAACCGAGACGAACTTTCGAACTGTATTTTGCTTTCAATGTTCCGTGAGCGTCTTTACCCAGAACGCTAAAATTTGACAGTTTTCTCCCCTTTCATTTCGAAAGGAAAATCGTGTTTTTAAGGAAATTTGGAATTTTAAGACTCGTCTACCTGACAAGCTACCAAAGCCTTGTACAGTAAACAATTATCCCTGCTTCGATGTTGTTCGATAACTACTTTTTTGTATCATGTAGGAAAACCTTTCAAAATAGAAATTCTACTGGATTTTCTTACCCATTTTTTCTAAATTCTCTACACTGGGCAATAATTGTTGGGCTAAATTTTGTTGAGGTTTTTATTATTTGAATGCATTTTCCTGGCCAAGAGCCGTGTAGTTTCTAGTTTGATTCAAAGGACGATCCTTTGGGGAAAAGTCAAAAGACCATTTAAACATTTTTAGTTTCCCTAATTAAATTGTTTTAATATACTGGATGAAAATATTTAATGCTTTTTCCACGTATACACTTTTTACCTGACTGAGCAAGCTATGTTGCTTTTTTAAGATTTTGTTAATATTTAAGCTTTTCCCACAAGATATAAAGTACAATGACTGGTAACATGATTGATACAAAAATAATAATAAACTCCTAATTATTCCGCCTCGAAACACTTTTAGAGTAATAAACTAAGATTCAGAATTTATTTTCTGACTGTCTCGAAAATTGTTCTTAGTTATTTCCCTAATTTTATTTTTCGATTTTTTCTTTCTTTCTTTTTTTCTTTTTCCAGTCAACAGGCGGGGTGAGCCCACGAAGTGACTCATCAGGAATCAGCGTTAATCAAGATGACGCAAGCGCCGTAGCTCCCGACAAGATCAACATGGCGGCAGTTTATTCAAGAGAAGCGAGTTTTGATGACAACAAATCTGATTTATTTGACGATGATGAAGACAGTAGAGGATTTCTCCATCCTAATGAATCAGATGAAGGTTAGTCGGTCTGGCTGTATTATAATTATCTGCCAAATCTTCCTTTTTTCGTCGCTTGAACCTGTCAAACTTTCTAAATTATACTTAGCTTATAAGTAACTTGTTTACCTTTCCATCAATTCACTTTGATCAATCATTTATAATATTTATTTATTTATTCCTTTTTCCTCTGTCACTTTTTTTATGATAGATAGATTTACTGCCCGTAAAATGTTCGCATTGCTTGTTAACCAAGCTTAAATTTCCTGTAATAGGAAAAAAGTAGATTTTTGATTAAGCTTGTTTAGAACAAAATAAAAAAATAAAGATTTCTTTTAGATACCGAAGATGCAAGTGAGACAGACATGGCTAAGCTTGAAGAGGAATTCACAGAGATGAAAGAGCAGTAAGTGCTATCAAGACACAAGTTGAACCACCAGAAATCGTGTGTGAAGGGGTAGAGGGGGATTGTATCTTGGGCATTTGAAATTTAATTCAGTGTGTGCATTTTTAAAATTAACTATGGTGAGTGATAAAAAGTGCCTTGGAATTGTAAATGGTTTCATTTGAATGAGGAAATGGAGCGAAATGAACTCTTAAAAGTTGTAGGAAATTGTAAGCAGATAAAGGTGAACATGCACATGTAAGGAATGTGATGACAGAGAGCAAAAGAGGGAATACAATTTGATGTATAGGATCTTCAATGTTCATGGTATACAACAGTAAAACATTGTTCATAAATTTATGTCTCTTTGTATAACTTAATTTCAGAATGTATCAAGAAAAGTTACGGGACTACAAGAATCAACTTCACTTGCTTAATATTGGTAAATATAGAGTAGTGTAAAACAAACAGCTTCATTCAATCGTTGACCTCATTCACATCAGAAAACCATTTGAAATGTATTGTATGCTTCAGGAAAACATGAAGAATATTCCAGGCGGCTCAAGGAACTGGAAAAAATTCGTGATGAGCGGCTTCTCATCACAGGTGAGTTGATGCATTTACAATTTAGTTGTACTATTTCCAAAAACCCCATTCATTTTCAATTATGTTTGACTTACAATCCCTTTTTTCTTTTGCAATAGAAATCTGCAAGAACTATGAGGTAGGTTCAGGAACAGAATCAACATGTCAGTATCAGGATTCCAATGTTAGAGGGATGTCCCAAGCATTTTGTGGTTTGCATTCAGCCTTTGTAAATGATTAGGTGGAGTGAGTCCTGAAAAGCTGTAACCCTTTGACAACTACAATGCTTGAAACTGCCATTAAAGGACACTCCTTATTTGAAAAATGCAAACTTCAACAAATTGGAGCGAGTTGCCGTAAAATGAGTAAACTCTTAGTTACTCTCACTTCTTTGAGATAGTGCTGTCTCAGGACTTCAGGATGCCCTCTTATATAGATGGACAAAATGGCTTCCAAAATTTCCAGTTTTTGAAAATCCCTCTAAACAAGGTGCCATTGCTTTGTTGAACTAAGTTCTGTTCTGCACTGGAAAATCATGCTACTTGTAAACTTCATTCCTTATTGATATAAAACACTGACAGTGTCACTCCAAACTCTATATGGCTTTGTTAGGGCTTACAGAATGTTTGGGTCCTGAAAAATGCTGAAAAACCTCAAAAATGTCTAGGAATTGTAGGGCTAAATATACATATATAACACTGATTTTTTTTGTCTAGTTTGAGCTTATAGAAAGTGAGCACATTAAAGAGAAGCAATCAATACAACAAGAATATGAGGTAGCTAATACTTGTATTACCTAGCTATTACCCATGTTGATCTGTGGCCCAGGTTTCAAGTTTCTTTATTTCACACACAAGTTTTATATCAATTATTTACTCATGTTGAAATTCATTTTTTTATAGATAAAGAGACTCCTCTTAAAATAGCAATTAACAAAATAAAATATTGTGTGCAGTGCTTAAAGGAGCTAAGCTTTTGGGTTCACCACTTATAGTATCTAGTGAGGACATACCAGGTCATAATATACTGTACTAAACTGCTAACTATGGCTTATCTAATTTCTTTCCTGTGTCRTTGTTTTTGCAGCAAAAGAAGATAGATCTAAAAGAAACTTTGTTATCTGAGCTGCAAGACAAAAAGAGAACAATTGAAGCTGAGAGAGTTTCCATGGAACTGACTGGAGGTAAATACACTGATTTTACCCAATAATTAAAATGGTTCCCATCTTTCCACACTTCATCATTCTAACCAATAACAGAGGGACATAAAAGAACCACTGAGGACGTGAAGAAACCCTGGCAGTGACCATCCTCAGTGCCTAAGCCTTGTACTAATCATCTCATGTTTGTAAATAATTGCATAAAAAGCAAGATCTGACATTCATTCATTCAATATAAAACACCTTTGATTATAATTACATAGAAAGGGCACTATATATATTGTAAATCATTATCATTATCAATAATATAACCTTCATGGCTTCCTTGCACTCCAGATTCTGTTGAGATTAAGCCTGCTGTAACAAGAAAGTTGAGAAGAAGACCTAATGAGCCATTACCTGCCCCTGAAAAAAGAAGAAAGACATCACATATCCTTTGCAGAAGAAATCTTAATTTATTACTATTACTTATTACAGACTGTGACAAAATGTGATCATTTGTTTATTATACATTTAGGGTCGATACAATAACAAAACGCACTGTTTCCAGTTTACCATGAAGTGATGTTGTATCACTAACACTATTCTATTCTAATTTTTTTTTGTTTCTTACTGTTTCATTTTATATTTGGATATCAAACAAGTATTTTCAACATTGTTTGATCAGCCTTTCAAGCACAATAAGTGCATTTTTCCGCTCTGGTTACCCCAAAAGCTGCAAAGTAATATGGGTATGGAAAAGTAAATAATAAATTGCCGATTGCATTTTACTGTTTGCTTCTTCAACCTTTTTTGAAATAAATGTATAATGTGTGTTTGCTGTAACACACTGATAATGCCAGTTGCATCCAGATTTTTCTTCTATCAAAAGATACTCACCATTGGAATTCTGTTGTATACTATATGGTCCCACATTTTTAGATATCCATCAAACACCAATGTTATTTTTATTCTTTATTTATAATAGGCTCAATGATGATTTGTTTTTTTTTGTATTTTGCTGTATTCCCCTTAACTTTATCCCACCCCAAATAAATTACCTGCTGGACGAAGATGACATTATAGACGACCTAAGAGCTCTAAACAAATTTTTGCCAACCAGAGAGGTGAGCTCTATGATGCATTTGATTCATTTCATTCAAAGGGTTTCTAATTTTCATGTTTTGTTTTTAGAACACAAACTCCCCAGCACTTTCTCAGAGTAAAGGAAACAGCCGAGTAAAAGGTGACTCAGGTTAGTACCTGCAGGGTGGAAGAGGGAGTGATGTGTCACCTGTGTCGTGTCAATAGACCTACCTACAGGGTGGGTGCAGGAGTGATGTGTCACCTGTGTCATGTCAATAGACCCTACCTACAGGGTGGGTGAGGAGGTGATGTGTCACCTGTGTCATGTCAGTAGACCTTACCTACAGGGTGGTGGAGGGGGTGAGGTGTGTCACATGTCAGGACAATACACTACTTACAGGGTGGCATGTGGTTTTTTTCAGTAACAAGGGAAGGTAGGTTTCTCATTGGGAAGGAGTGCTGGGGCTTCAGATGGAGGATTATCTATTAAAATATGACATTTTGTGGAGAGTCAAACCTTTTCATTCATTTTGATGAAAGCTGTTTCCTTGTTGACTTAATACAAAAGGCAATTCTTACTGAGTGAAAGGGGCTACAACCATTTTTTAAAGTTTTCACGAAAATCCCCCAATCCTCACCCCTCCTTTCTACCAATTAAAAATGTGCCTTCCCTAAACACAACTTATAATTCACTTTTTTTTCTTCAGGCAACAATAGTAGTCACTCAGACTCAAGTCACTCAGATGCACGACTTGATGATGGCAAGTTATATTATGACAAAAAATGGTAAGACAATCACATTATATGGGGATTAAACCTATAAATAATATTCTGTATGCTCTGCCTCCTTATCTACAGGCCTGTAGCAAGGCTTAAAAATGTGTGTGCTGGGAGGGGGGAAACAACTCTTTTCCTGAAGACCATAATAAATCCCTCTTATTGTGTACTCAAGCCAATACTCCAGTTACAAGTTCTCTTTGCTCAGCCTTAGCCTCAGTTGTACGTTAAAATATTCAACCATTCGACCAAAACCCGTGGCATTTTAATCAACTTGTATTGTTCCATAGTATGTACATTACTTGCTATAATATGTACTTTAATGAAAGCAAAAAACACATTGCACGCAATCGAGTCTGAGGCTGAGCAAAGGCGAACTCGAAATGGGAGTATTGAATGCGCATAATTTACAAAAGTTGCATCTACACAGTGTACGTGTTGATTTGTTAACATTCGGTACACTATACTGTACCATTTCAACGTTACATACCTTCACCTTATCTCATCTAAAATAACTGCAGCCCTTCCCCTTGCTATGGGCCTGATCTAGTAGTATAATCTGATCTGTATAATTATTCTAGGTTCCATAAAGGTAATAGTATTATAGTAGAAAACAGAGATGGTGCCAAATACAGGTAAGATTGTGCAGTACGTCAAATCATCAAACCAATCAGATTGCACATAACGTTGTAGGTTAATCATCTTCTTTTGTTATTTTCAGTGGAACATTGTCATCCATTGGACAAAATGAGGTTAGTTACTGTAATATACATAAAGAAGTCTAGTCACTATTGATTTTGGTTGCTCATTGTCCTTTCTTTTAATACGATGGTATACCCGTGAGGGAAAACATAATTTTTGTAAATTAAAATTGTATTAGTGACAAATAAGTTACAATTTTTATTGCTGGTGTGACGATATCCTATATTGTTTAGTTAACAATCATTATGTAACTCAGGATAGCTTGTAATTCAACCCGCTCTCAGGGGGTGTGTCGTCTTTATAACTAAACCTTAAAGACCGTTACAGCTTTCATAAAAACTACATGACTTATTTTATATAACTTATAGTACACTCAACAAAATTGCTCGACTCTGATTGGTCGAGAGAAGTACAATTATAGCGTTAATATTGTACTCCGTAGGAGTACCGAATTAAGTCGCTATGGCAACACGGCCAAAGCAATGTCGATCAATGTCAATGTCTATCATTTTGTTCTTAAAAAACATTTTGAAATTAAAAATTTTAAAGCCGTAAGAACTAATCTTTTTTATGCATTTCAGTTGCGCGATGGACTGAAAATCGGCCGCCAAATACACAAAGATGAACGGCATCGCTTCGCATTTTTTACTGAAATTTTGTTGAGTGAACTATAAACAAAAAATCGCACGATCTTCTCGTACAATTTAATTGTACTCGAGATCGTGCGATTTCCTATACTAATTACTTTTAAGTATTCTTGTTTATAACTGTTGACTAATACTTTTTCATGTTTTATTGCAGATTGTTATAAAGAAAACAGACAACACAAAGACCAAAATCTACTTGACATCCCTTCAGAAAGGAAAATTTATTCTTAAGAAAAAGAACAACACTGCATCATAACCATGATATTGGAAATAATATAATCCWGTAATATACTCCATTCACTATCCTGTTTATGCAGGAAACTTAAGGCTTACGGCAGCATAAGATAAGAAGAGGATCAGTCCTTTCTTTTTTCAACTTTTGTATGTGTCAAAACCTTTGTTTATCCAGCGGCAACTCATCCGTAATCACTAGAACATGAGAAAGGATGTCTTTGTTGTAAGTGATCCTCTGTGTGAGAACTTTCGTTTCCAAAACAGTTTATCCATTTACATGCGAATCATGCAAAACTGTAGCACTTTAAAATTGCTTCACTAATGATACTTATTGATATTTTATTTTCAAAATACAGTAGTGTACAGGACACCCTGCTAACGCTGTAATAACTTACGCTTTCTTAAAGCGATGCATAAGTTCTTCATTTGGGACATCCCCCTAACAAATTCCTGTATCCGCAGCCCCAGTATCCGCAGCCCCATTATGGATTCTATCAATGTCATATGAATAGCAGGTTTAACTGTATCGAAATAAAATATATTAACTATATGGTTGACATTACTGGTGCACCACATTAATTTATTATTAATCGCTCGACTCAATCCCTTTCTTTTGTCAGTCTTGTTGGCCTATAGAAATAATACCTTCCTCAAGAAGAAAAGGACTTTCGAAACATTAAAATCAAAACTTGCCTTTATAACTGTTGTCCTATAAGTACAAGGGGAAGAAGGGTAGGCCAAAAGAGAGCAGAAATGATATCGTAGAGAGCAAATTAATAACCTGTAGTGTGCATTTAAAGTGCTACTACGACGAAAATCGCTCAAACTTGGATTCAGCTGAAACTTCCTAAAAATACTCTTTAAAGGTCCAA